ATATTCTTATTCTGATATTGTAGCACTATAAATTTCAAAATTTACGAATCGTCCACAAATGTGTTTTTGATCTCTCAATAAGAATATATATATCGAACAAAATATTCGCAAAGAATATTTATGGGCTAAAGAAAGAAGAATTCCAACGAATCAGTTATGGAATGGAGTGAAAATTTGAGTGATTCAAATGCTGAATTGTAGGATCTATTTATATATTCTCAATAGCTGTAGCTAATAATTATAACTGTTAGAAAAATAATTCACAAAATTGTTCGCATACCTTTTGATACAAACTAAACACCTCCACTTACATAATAATGGTGACTTGATTTTCATCTATTATTTTTCATAACTAAATATTTGAAGTGATGTATTAAATTCATTCACCAAGAAATGATTTTGAGAAAGTGAATTTAATACACTTAAATATTTAACTCAAAATTTCCAACATTTAATGTCCTAGAGAAGATTACAAATAATGCCCCTAATAAAAAAAAATTATAAAAAAAACTTCATATTTGAAGAATTTCTTAGGGGTCATTAGTTAATCATTTTATTTAAAAAATAATAGTCTACCAACTCTAATTAATGCAGCAACTCCTCTTGTTTGGATAATTCCGAAATAATGATTTTTTTAGGGTAAATTACAACCACCCCCTGAGGTATGGTCAATTTACGAAAAAACCCCTCTTGTGTGGATAATCACATCTACCCCCTCAATTATTATTTTTCCTTACGCCTACACCCTTATGGTGTCAAATTCAACATAATCATCTAGATTTCATGGAATGTGCTCTAATTTGTAATCGTTTTGTGTAAAAATACAGTTTCTGATGCACCATAATCTGATATATACAAGCCAAAAAACACATATTATGATCATCTTGCTTCAAAATGTGGAGTTCGAATTGGATAAAGCGGGTACGAAAGTGACAATATTCCATATAATCTCGAAGATTCCACTAAATTTGAAACCGCAAGAGCGGACGTATAAGAATATTTATAGTTGAAGGGAATAGTTGTAATTACTCAAACAAGAGGGGGATTTTTGTAATTTGACCATACCTCAGGGGTGATTGTAATTTACCCTTTTTTTAATTATTAGTACTATTACTATCATTGTTATTATTATTATTATTATTATTATTATTTACTAATACGTAGAATAGTACCATACGATATTTACGATATTATTATTATTATGTTGTGTTGGGGGTTGGGGTTTAATATAAATATAATAAAATGAATGAATTGGAGGGACAAATTAAAGAAGAGTATTGTCAACTGTAGAGAATGTTTTGGGGAGGGGAGGGTGGGGGGCACATGCCTGTAAAACGGAATGTGTTATGACCACGTCTCTCTGTTCTTCTTCACATTTATTTGCTTTTCAGGAAACACAATCATGCATGCCTAAACCCCTCCATTCTTTTCTTTATTCTTTTTTCTATTTAATTTATTCTGCATTCTTTTTTACTTCATAATTATACTATTATTATTATTATTATTATTGGTGTTATTCCATCTTAATTAATTAATTAATTATATCTCTCATCTACCCATAATCATTATTATGCCCATTACATCCTGACACTTATTTGGATATATTATTTTCCAACTTGATTCTTTATTTATTTATTTAATTATTATTGTAATCGAAACTTGGGTGCTATGCTAGCTTGTTATTGGAAGTTACGTTGGTGTATATTTTTTTAATAAAATAATACCAAAATAACCAAGTCTATTTTATGGTAAAAGACTCATGTCCATTATATATTTTCAGTGAAAGTCGAAAAAAGAAAGTAATAATGCACAACGGATATTATTATTGATGCACAATTTTTGGTTTTAGAAAATTAAAACATATATACATCCCTTGTGATTATATAATACTTTGTTTCCGGAATTAGGTTTCCGCCTTTAGAACTGCCAATAGCTCCGACCGGAGAGATTTTCCCGGCATAGACACTCTGATGCTCAAGTCAGACTCTGTCGAATTTCAAAAATCCTTCAGAAAATATGCATGTAAAAATATATATATATATTTTTGGTGTTACCCGTATTTATAGGTGAAATTGTTTTACTTTCAAGATTTACCATAGGTTCCTTTTATTTCCATTTAGGACTCTATTAACTTGATGGGCAAGTAATACACAAAGGAATGTATCTCTTCATATTCTCATACCTAAATCCGATATGCGATCGATTAAGACATGCTCAATCGGCTCATTTATCTCGTCACACGTGTCACAACACTTGTGCGTCTCTATGATTCCTATAATGACTGAGTCTTCGTGACCTATGCCTGATCCAATGGGCTTAGCTCGTCTCGTGCTTTCGGACTTAGAGAGGTGAGTTGGGGCCACAAGAGGCCAGTGTTGAATGACCACTTCAACCAAAAGTTTAAGCTGTTAGTGAAATATATTATTTAATATATTAATATCTCCAATATCCAGAAAGTCCAAAAGGAATCCTCAGTCCATATCACCTTGGATTCGGATCCTGATTGACACTACAAAAAAAGGAATCCTTGCATTTGTCGCAATTGGGGTGTCACTAATGCAACTTTTTCTTGTATCCAGGAGTCCAAATTAAATAGACGACCTCATCGAAAATTGTAATTATATTCCTCAATCATCGCGTTTGGATTGGCAAAGTACTTTCAAGATATTATACAGTCAAGCAGAATGTGTGACCCGACGAACATATATATGCACACAACATCATACACTTATTAGATACACTTGGCCACCGTAAGGGTTTTCACATGCCATAAATGTTATGTACAACGACCGGTTGATCGAACTTGGTAGAATATGTTACGAGATCCAATAATCTTACACGAAAACAAGTAACGAATCGTCCAAAACAAATGATTTCAATTGGCATAATTTTGAAATATTGACTTCGTAGCTTATGAAGAAGTGGAATAATATTATCCGGTTGGAATATTGAACTAGAAATTAAACCAATATTAACCATGAAAATTTGAAAATTGGAAGCAAACTTGTAAAAATTGTTTGTGAACATCTATCTGTATATTGATTATTTTTATAAAATATTGGCATATATTTTAAGAAAATTGAGTAAAATTTAACGTACAATAAACATTGAAATTTGACAATAAACTAGCGAAAATCGCGCGGTAGTGAATCTGTGAAAATTGACAGTAAACATGGACACACTCAAAGCGTGCATGTTCAAAGAACGTGTCCACACTGGGGTATTTTTGTAAAATGAAGGAACATACGACTTTTGTTTAAAAAGAAAACAGTATGTTTGTTACTTGCACCAAAAGGCGAAATCTCTCGTCCCAAGGGCTCCTATCCCTTGACCCGACAAGTATTTGATGGATGAATATAAATTCATGATAACTCAACGGTCCGTTAATTAGGGTAGCGGACCCGGAACACATATGTTTGCTACTGAAATTAGCTTAGAGGGACTTACATATATATCAATTCCCCTTTAATTTTATGTAATAAAAATGCAAAAAATACATCAAAAGCATGTTTATGGATGTAATCAGCAATTATAAAAGAAGACAAATTTATAATAGTATCCAATGCAGAAATTAATTAAAGAAGGTAAAAAGGGCCTTTTAGTGATATCTGAAAAAGATAGTAGCTTCTATTGTAATTTCAAGATTCTTGGGGCACTCCCCTCTAAAGTTAGTTCATGGAAAAACCTTCATTAACAAAACAAGTTGGGACGTGATGTATTCTCTATCTTATTAATAAAGTCAAGAACTTAAACAATAACAAAATAAAAAATAAAAAAATAATAATAACAAAAATAATTAGCAAACAGTACATAAATATTAAATACACACACAGAAACACATAATATACACACGCACAAACACATACATTATGTGTAGTATTGTCATGAATATAAAATAATATGTAACTGACTTACCACCATCTATCTACCACCCACCCCCTTCAAACTATTTCACCACCCCCCCCCCCCCCTTTTTTTTTTTTTTTTTCCCTTTCCAGAAGGTTTTCAAAAAAGAGGATTTATGGGAAGGGGGGTTTTGGAGGTTTTTTTTCTTGGTTTTGGGCCGTGGGTTTTATTTTTTTTCATCCCCGATTTTTTTTTTTATAAAATATATAAAATATTTGCCGAAAAAAAATTTATAAAAAAAAATCCATTTTGGGTGGGATTCTTTATATTTGGGGGAAGGGGGTTTGGGAAATTCTGGGTGGATTCCTAGGGCCCCCCTGGGAAAAGAAACCTCGGAAACCCCATTAAATTTTTTTTTTTTTTTTTTTTTAGGAAATTTCTTTTTTGTAAATTCTAAAAGGGGGGGTTTTTGGGGGGAAAAAAGGATGGAATTTTTTTTTTTGGGGGGTTTTTGGGGTGGTTGGGGGGGAGGGCCTGGTTTTGGGTGGAAAACGGGGGGCGGGTTTACGGGTTTGGGGGGGGTATGGGGGGGACGGGGGGGGGGGGGTTTGGGGGTTTGGGGGGGGGATGGGGCCCAGGTTGGGGGGGTGGTTCATATTATTCGGTTATTCGGAATTTATGGGGGGGGGGGGG